TATTTTTTTAAATCATTACAAAAAAATTTATAATTACAAAATACTACTCTAAAAAGTCGAGGGTAAAAAGTTGGGTGTTCTACTTACAGATGGTAAAAACGGGTTTTTTTGAAATCTCCCGCGAATAATGACAAAAATCAGATTGGCAACACTGCACAATTCACTATGTATAATTTTCTTGATACGGTGGTAAATGTAGAAAATATCATTTATCTACAATCATACTAACCATACATGTAATGTTGACTTAACTGACTTCTAAAAAGTTTGAAAATGTCACTTTTTTGACTTTTACTTTCGGCCCACGGGTGGAAAGTTTACTTTCGACCTTAAAACCTAATGAGAATAGAACAAGTATGTTATCCTTAGTCGAATCGTTTAATTTAGAACAAACTATCTTTGAAAATACCAGAATAACCGGAAAAGGGGGAAGTTGCATTGACTATTTCACTAGAGTGTTTTACACTGGTAAAATGTTATAGGACCGGCCGGTTTCCTACTGACAAAACTTCTACCTGTTCCTAGCTGGACAAAACCAACATGATGGTTTTTCAGCGACAAAATTTTGTGTGGTTAGGGTAAAAAACAATTAGGCATTCCAGGTTAATGTCATAAACGATCCGCCATATTAGTTTGGGGGGCACACAAAAGCCAAACATAACCTGATTCTATGTTAAACCAAGAATTTTCAATCTATTTTGTGAAGATGCCTTCTATTTGCTGCGTTGTTAGGTGCTCTAGTAGAGCGGAAAGAGATAAAGAAAGGTTTTTCAGGATCCCAGCAGCATTAAGAGATCTAGGGAATCGTCTAAACGAGCTAAAAAAGGAACGACGAAATCTGTGGATTAAATGCCTCAAAAGGAGAGATTTAACTGAATCGTTTCTGAAAAATGCTCGTATTTGTTCAAAACATTTTGTTAATGGTAAGTATTATGACTGTCTTGTTAAAATACAAAAACACATTTATATTGAAAAATTGGTTTGTTTCTACAAGTAATATTTACTTTTAATACCTTTTAGGTAGTCCAGCAGAACTTGAATAACCCTTTATATACGCCTTCAACTGCAAGCCTGTGTAGTAACTGTGGGTGTGGGTCAAATATTCGGATAAATCCAAAATTGAAACCTCTGGCAACTCATTGATACTTAAAGTAAACTCATTAGGTAGAAGTTTATAAGGATCTATATTGGCAATTATTTGTATTTTTGGTCATAAACAACTTAAAACTTATTGAGAGAATTTAAGAACGCAAAAATTCGGAAACACAATCTCAAAGAACGGTGTAAATACTGATCTAGGCTTTGTTTGCCCCCCAGCGGACCTGTCAAGTCACGTGACCTGGAGTGCCTAATTGAGTTTGACAAGTGTCACCTAAAGAAAATAAATTTTCCAAATGAAAATTTGGCTTGTTTTTCTCGTGAAATAGTCCAGCCGAATACCACTCAAGAAAAAAATATGTAGGCAAAATTATTCTCTTGGTTTCATTCAAGTTTGTTGCTTTTTGGTAATTTCGCTCATGAAATGTCATTCGCGAAATTGCCAAGCAACAAACTTTCATACCAGTCGCAAATTTTGCCAACAGAATTTTTTCTCTTGTGGTATTATACAGGGTGAGTTACTAAGCACGCGGTGGTCCATGTCTCCTATACTAACGGAGATCGGAGAAAAAACTAAATACAAAACTTGTAGATAAATATGAGTACTACATTCCTAAATTATTTTCCAGTATACAGGGTGACTCAATAACTAGTAGTAAAACAAAACTATGTTTTTTAAATCACTCCCCCTGTATATCATGACATTTCTGGATTCTGCGGAAAATTCTAGACATATTTCATGTATAATGACATATACCTATCTTCAACTGTTTCTGAAATATTGACAGTTGAAAATTGACTTTTTGCATCTTTGACAGACTGTGAAACCTAAATGGGTAATTTTAGAGGAAAACGGATTTTACATTCCTATCTTAGATTTGCATAAGCTATCATTTGACACCAACTTTGAATTTAACCAAAGATTAATAATTTAGGCGGAATTTTTAATCATGGGTTAAATTCAAGATTGGTGCCAAATGATACTTTATGAAAAACTAAGACAGAAATGTAAAATCCGTTTTCTTGTAAAATTAACCGTTCAGGTTTTATAGTCTGTTAAAGATGCAAAAAAAGTCAGTTTTCAACTGATAGGTATATGACATTGAACATGAAATATGTCTAGAATTTTCAGCAGAATACAAAAATGTCATAATATACAGGGGGAGTCATTTGAAAAAACAACTTTGTGTCACTACTAGTTATTGGGCCACCCTGTATTCTGGAAAATAATTTAGGAATGTAGTACTACTAGTACTCATGTTTATCTAAAAGTTTTGTATTTAGTTTTTTCTCCGATCTCCGTTAGTATAGGAGACATGATCCACCGCGTGCTTAGTAACTCACCCTGTATATGATAATATTTTTGTGAATAGTGAATATTTGGACAGTTTAGTAATAAATACCTTTATTTCTGACCATACCGCCCAGAACCTACTTATAAAGATGCAAAAAATTAATAAAAATACGCTTATACAGAGTGGCAAAAAAGTGGCGCCTAATACCTGTAACTTTTTAATTAGGTACCTCGTATACGAAAAAGTGACCTCAATGAAAGTTGTTCAGTAAATTATTTCACACAATTCTACCTAGACATATTGCCTGTGACATTTCTGGTTCGTTTGCTATCTAGACCAACTTTGTTTTTTCAAATAGAATACCCTGTATGTGATTGCATATTTGGATTCCACAACAAATTCTGATCAGATTTCATGTGATATACCCTATACCCAAGTTCAACTGTTTTGGAAATATTGACAATTGAAAATTGACTTTTTGAAAATTTGACAGGCTGTAAAACCTAAACGGTTAATTTTAGACGAAAACCAATTTCACATTCCTATCTTAGATTTTCATAAACTATCATTTGACACCAACTTTGAATTTAATCCATGATTAAAAATTCCAATTAAATTTAATCTCCGATTAAATTCAAAGTTGGTGTCAAATGATAGTTTATGAAAATCTAAGATAGGAATGTGAAATCGGTTTTCCTCTAAAATTAACCGTTTAGGTTTTACACGCTATCAAAGTTGCAAGAAAGTTAATTTTCAACTGTCAATATTTCCAAAACAGTTAAACTTAGATATAGGGTATATCACATGAAATCTGCTCAGAATTTTATGTAGAATCCAAATATGCAATCACATACAGGGTGTTGCATTTGAAAAAACAAAGTTGGTCTGGATAGCAAACAAACCAGAAGTGACAAACAAATTGTCTAGGTAGAAATGTGGAAATAACTTACTGAGCAACTTTCCTTAATAGTCTAAGAGCCAGCGCCGAAAAAATTCTCTGAATTTACTAAAGCTAGTTTTTGGACAGTTGATTACAGTATTTACGTACATAAACATACCGCGGTCAGTCAAGCGAAACTTGGGACAAGGACCCAGGGTGTCTTGTTAAAGGTGTCGAGATAACTTGGGTAATGCAACGAATTTACTAAAGCTGAAAATTGTTATACATATGTATTATATATAACATATAAATAACAGTAGTTTTAGTCAGTCAGTGGAATAGCGGAACCGTACTGGTCAGTCAGCCCCAATAAATGTAAAAATCTGCAAAAAATATTAATATTACTGAACAAACCTATTAATTTATACTTCAACCTACAATTTTGAATTGTCACTGTCACGCTGTCACTCTAAAAAAAAATAGACCTATTATTTTTTTTACATAAATTGGGGCTGAACTACCTCAATGGGGCTGAATGACCGGCCCAGTTCCGCTATTCAACTGACTGACAAACATCACTGTTATTTATGTGTTATATATAATATGTATAGCGATTTTCAGCCTTAGTAAATTCGTTTCATTACCTAAGCTATCTCGACAACTTTAACCAGACACCCTAGGTCCTTGTCCCAAGTTTCGCTTGACTGACCGAGGTATGTTTATGTACGTAAATACTGTAATCAACTGACCAAAAACTGGCTTTAGTAAATTCAGAGTACTTTTTTGGCGCTAGCTCTCCGGCTATAAGGTCACTTTTTCGTATACGAGGTAATTAAAAAGTTGAAGGTATTATGCGCGACTTTTTTGCCACTCTGTCACAGATTACTTACATACAGATGCGAAAGAGTAGCGAATTCGTGGTTCAAGATTAATTTGATAGACATAGGCTGGCCGCACCAATGCCACATCATTGTATTTTGAACATATTTATTGAGTCACGAAAGGTTTGTTACAAATTTCTAGGGATGGTAGATCTCGTAAAAATAAAACTTTTTTCTTAATAAACAGGGGGCGGATTACGAACTCTCGATTCGAACCGAAACCGCCATGTTACACCAAAATTTTGATTTCGAACGCACTCCATGCGAATGCATTTCGACGAAAGTCACTCGACTGGTTGATGTCTGTCGAAAAGCTATCGAAACGAAATCGAGTCCAATAAAGTTAAGTTATGTTGGATTTTTGGGGGCCAAAATTCGTTTGATTCTTTATTTTGTTATGACGTTTTGTAGTATTTTGAACTTTGAACAGAAAAATCGCTGAAAAAAATTGTCTTAAAATTAATGATCGCCATTGGCAGGTTTTATTAGGGACATAAAGCTTCCGTATTTTTTTGTCGGTATCCGTATCGGTATCGTACTGCGCATGTGCAGAAGCGTTACGGAGGTCGAGATACCGTACGTACAACGTAACGTTACGGCCTTCTCGCGGTATCCGTATCGGTAACGTATCTTGACAATCCTGACACGTGTCAAATTTTGAATTTGTTTAGTTTATATTTTCTCGAGTTTCTTGTGCTTCTCTATCGCAAAAAAAGTTATAAGAGTAAGGAAAGGATGCATTCGTCAATGCCAGCACTACCAGCAACGCTGAAAAGAAAGAGATTGTACTACAATGGAGACGACGATTTGCATCTATTGCGGGAAGTGCTTGGGCAAAATCCATTTATGACGCCCAACAGATGGAATGATATCCAAAAAAATATTCAAGAGCTCACAGGCAAGGAGTTTGGTGTGAGAAGTTTGAAAGAGAGAATCCAGCTTCTTGTGGACAAATTCAGGCAAAAGGTTGAACATGATGAATATAAGTAAGTTGGATGTGTACCTAAAGCAAATTCTGGAGGCTCTAGTTTACCTTTAGCTTGACCATTATCAACAAAAAATAATTGCGAAAGCTTTTGCTTTTACTAGAAAATAGTTTTTATATCGATAAACGTTGGCCCTACTGGTGAATCTCTATATAAGTGCCTCATTGTAGTCAAATTTCTTTTCAGATCTGGAATTGAAGAAGAAGTGACGGAAATGGATGATCTTCATGAAATTATTCTATTGATTGATGAGGTTTTAAATCAGAAAAAAACGAAGTCCTCATCTTATCAAAGAGGTCTTGAAAAGAGAGAACAGGCTATGGAAAATATAACTAAGGAAGGAAATCAAATTGGACCCTTATTTGGAGTTGGACCAAACCTATTAGAGCCACCAGAGGAGGATAAAGGTGAGTTGAAAATTAAGTTAGAACAGAAACTCAAAAATATATTACATGGATAGCCATGAGTACATAGGAGGGCATCATTCCTGGAAAAAATACCTAATAAATGGGTATTATTTCTGGCAGATTTTTCAATTAAATTGTTGTTTGAGTGTTTTTTTTTTTTCCAAATAAGTACCTATCTACATTTCTAGAAAAATATTTTAATCAGTGCCAATTAAAAAACAAAGAAAATACATAAAACTCTGGCTATCTAAATCAAAAACGGCTCTGAATACTATCTAGAAACTTTTGATATTGTATTACCATACACCGCTATTTTCGGCCAATTATTATATGAAAGTTGAAGCTATGGTTAAACTTAGGTTTGAACATGGGTTGAACCTATGTTTAACCATAGCTTGAAGCTTAAACTCAACCTATACAATTTGGCCTTAAGTAATTATCAAACTACTACCTTCTCATTTTTTATTCTGGTAACATATTTTTCTTAAAAATTATATTTTTAGAGTATATTCAAGTAATTATTGAAGACGAGCAGGATATGCAGACCGAGATGCAGAGTGTTAATAAAGAAAATAATTTTGTAAGACCAATTGAACCAGAAACTCCTCGTATAAGTATAGGCATTGGTCGTGGGAATGGTAGAAGAGTCGCGAATAGAGGAAGAAGCGGGGGTTCAAGTAAGCATATTCAGATACGAAATTTGGTAAACAAAACAATAGTGAACTACGTAACTGTCTCAGGACATCAGCTAGTGGTAAAATTCCAACACCCAATAATTTTTATTCTTTCCCAACAGCTCCATCCAGACTAAAACGAACCGGAATAAAGCAAACTTCAATGAAATTTTTGGAAACTAAAAATGAGAGGTGGTTTGAAACAAGAAGAAGAGAGCTAGATTTGGAGGAGAGGAGATTCGAATTTGATAAGGAGGAACGAAGAAGAAATTTGGCCATAAATGAAGCCAGGCTAGACCTGGAACAAAAGCGTTTTGAAGCAGAGCTGAACATTTTCAACAATCAAAATAAATTGATGAATAATCAGCAGAAGCTTATGGAAATGGCATTCCAAAACTTAAAAAATAAACATGAGTAAATTAATTTCACAATGACATTTAAAATTTATTGAGAAGTGATGTTACCTGTTAGTTTGCTAAATGTAAAAAAAAAAGATAAAGTAAATATTTTCAAAAATAGTATTGGTTTTTTATTTAAACATATCATCATTCACAAAACACCTTACCTATTATGTAGAATAAAATTGAGCTACTGCAAATATTCCTCCAACTGAGGGAATAGAGGCAAAATACTGAGATACATTTCCTCCATTTAAGCAAGTGTGGCAATTTGTTAAAATAGTCCCCACTCCATACATCTGACTAACATCTTGCCACAAAATTTTTTGATTTTTTTTGAAATCCAGAAAGGCGAATAATTGAATAATTTTTCCAAAGCCCCATTCCACTGAGACTCTTACGGATCTCATAATATTGTTGAACATTTGTCTTTCTGGATTCTGAATAATTTGATTTATTGTGAAGGGACATACTAACAGTGCATGAAGAGCATATCCCTCATCCCCATATAGTACAAACTCTTCATCCGGAAAAACAACATGGTTCTGGAGTTCTTCCAGGAACCCTGATTCTCTGAGAATCCCAGCATCATGTCGTCGTCCAGCATAGGCTCCTTCCAGGCTGATAATGATTCCATCAGGGCACAGAACGCTCTGATATTTTAAGCAATGCATTTTCTTATGTCCTGAATAATATTCTTCCTGGTTTTCTGTTGGACGACAAATAGCCCTACAAGTACCATCTATGAATGCCCAGCAATTATGGAGAGGGCAGCCTTTGTAGAAAATTGCCTTTGAAAAAAAAAAAAAAAAAATAAGGATTAATAGGAAACTTACAGTTCATTTTGTTTTAAGCAGAGAGAAAAAAGTGCAAAGAGGGTCAGTCAGAAAACAGCCCATGAAAAAGTTTTGGATCCATTGTAACATTTTATTGAGATTTAAGATTTAAATTTTTTAGAAATAGAGATCTATTCAAGTTCATCTATAACATTTCTATACGTCCCACTGAAGCAAAAGTGATTTTTTTATTATGTTAAAATTATTAAAATCGAATGAAATCTTTCTTGGTCTATGGTACTAGCTAGACAATAATTTTAAAAAAAATATTCCTAAGGCACGGTATTTTTTTAAATGTTATCGATACTTTTATTATAGACTGAAAGAAGAACTTAGGCTTTCTCTTATTCTATGAATAGATGTTATTACAAAATAATTGAAGTTGTGAGTGTCACAGCAAACATGTTATAATTAGGAAATTTACTTACTTGTGAATATTGTCTCAATTTGTGTTGATTGAAAAAATGGTTGTTCCCTAAATTATTCAATTTAGCACCCCATTGACCCTCAATATTTTGGACCAAAAATTTGGTAAATCCGCTAATTACTGTGTTTGAATATCCAAACACTGGCTCCAGGTCTACAAGCCGATTGGGATATGTCAGCCTTCTCAGAACCATGCACAGACCCGTGACTGCTAAAAAGTAATAAAGTCACATCACAAAATTCCTCCTTATAGGTATCTGTGAAGGTAAACTTCTGCGCAAATAAGGATATAGATACATACCTGTTATGGTTACCCTGTTCACTATGATGGGATCTGGAATCCTCAAAGCAACAGCCAGTCTCCGTACCTCCTCCTGCGTAAATCTGAACATTTGTAGACAGATGGTATTGTTATAAAGAGCCAAATCGAATGCCCCAAAAATGTTAGCTCTATTTCCAAGAAGTATCTGATCATGCTAGATATGCATGATCAGGAGGTCATCAATATCATCATCATTAGGGTCCTCATTATCTAATAAAAGATGATCCAGAATAGCTTCCATGTTCTTAGTCTAAAAAAAATCTAAGAACTTAACTTGTTGGGGTGATTGAGTATTGTAATTGTTGGTTGTGAATTTTTGTGTTGTGTGGGTTAGTTCTTTATACCAAGAAATGTACATTTGCCAGTATTTCTAATCTCCTGCACATGCAAAGGTTGATATAAGCATTAAATTTACCATTGTGCATTATGGACTACCCTGCCAATATAAAACACAGAACTTCAACGTCCCCAACAAATAACCCTGCCTTAAAGTATACTTACCAATGTTATATGAGGTAAAGTGACTCGTTAAGTGGGTAGGGGGTCGTCACCAGAAAAGACGGTACAGAAACCAAATTATTAGACTCACCAACCAAAAAGGGATGAAAAAAAAACAACAATTTTAAGGTTAAATATAAAAACGCCGGAGTTTTGACACAAAAATTTCTAGGTTACGAGATGCGTTTACGTTACCGGAACAGGGAGCGCTTTAACAGCCTTTTCGCTTGTCAACGTATCTAGTTGCGTTACGGATACCGATACCGGCGAATTATTTCAAGTAGCTTTATGTCCCTAATATCTTTTATAGATAAACATTCTCTATTTGCTAGAGGTCAATTTGCAGGGCCCAACGGCAAAGTCATTCAAAGGAAACTCTGGAACAGCTTACAGAAAATAAAGAATCTGTGGGTAATTGTAGATGAGGTCGTACCAAGTCAATAAGGTTCTGGACCAAGACTTTGCTAAGTCTAAATAGTTCAATAAACCTTGCCTCTGGGTCTTTTTTCTTGAAACAGGGGAGCAGGGTTCCCAAGAGAACGAGTGTTCCGTCTTTGTACCTACTTATGTCGTTATCATTTGCATATGCATTGCCCTATACTGTTTATCGCATATATAAACTCTTTAACTAACATGCAAATACAGGGCTCTGTAACATCTTACGCCGACGACACCGTTCTACTTTTCTCAGGAGACACTTGGGGTGATGTGAGAAGGACGGCCAGTAGTGAATTAATTAAAGTGAAAAACTGGCTAGACAATAAAAAACTTACGTTAAACATTGAAAAGACCAAATATGTAGCATTTTCACTCACTATGGCAAATCGACCGGATTACTCTGGCATTTACGTGGAGAATTTCCAGAGTGAAATCAAGGAAGTCCCTCACATAAGGTACCTTGGGGTAATCATTGATAAGCACTTGAAATGGGAAGAGCAGGTTTTGAAGCTGAAAAATAATGTCAGGAAGCTTATCCACAAATTTTATCAACTGAGAGAATCAATGGGCCGAAAGTTATTAATATCAATATATAAGGCTTTGGTAGAGTCTCTACTAAGATATGGTATTGTAGTTTGGGGTGGTCTGTATAATAATGTTCTGGAACAGCTCAATGTGGCACAAAATTATATACTCAAAATTATATATAAGAAGAATAAACTTTTCCCAACCCAGCAACTATACAGTGATCAGATTTTTAATGTAAGATCCATATACATCTTAGAAACATGCATTTTTGTATACAAACAAAGTAATTTTAAGAAATATGTGAATCATGATTACCAAACTCGAACTAATACTCAAATGAACCTACAGATACCACAAAGTAAGTCAACCATGAACTTGAGATTCTTAAATTATTTAGGCCCAAAGTTTTTCAACTTATTACCAGTAGAATTAAGGAAAACATCAAATTTGAAAAAATTTATCAAAAACTGTAGATATCTTATATTTAACAGAAATGAGGAATTTGTTAAACTTCTGAAATGAAGTTATTAGAGAGAAATTAATAAATAAGGATAAATTCAATTGTTTTTAAAAAAATGCTTAGCTGCCTTACACTGCAAATATTTATGTAATATTAGGTTAAGATTAATAGATTCAGAAAAAATACAATATATTGATTTTCAAACAAATTGAAAATATTTAGGTAACACATACAGGGGATCAAATCGCCTAGGTGTTAAAATAGCAAATTAAGACTACACATAGCAATAAGTATACTTTGTTAAACAATGTAAATTAGAAAAAATTCTGTAATATATTGATTGATTGATTGATATTGATTGATATCATTGAAAAAGACGGAACACTCGTTCTTCTGGGAACCCTGTTTCAAGAATAAGGACCCTGGATGTAAAAAGGAATCATAACTTTCTCTGATTTCTCTTCTCATATGAATTAATGCACGATTTTCTCGTCTTCTTGCATCATTTTGCCTTCGCCGCCTTATGACTCTGATTATGGTAAACATATTACTAACTTTTTCCTTTTATAAAATTTTTTAAACACTTTGAAATTGCGAAATTAATCTTTAAAGAACACAAATAACCACAACACAATAATAAAAAATTAGAATTAGTATTAAGTCAATGTCAAAAAATTGACAAAATTTGGTAAATTTGAGCGAAAGGCGTCACAAATCGAGATGGCTCCATTTGTGCTACTGTGCATTTGTGCTAATCCGCAAATGGTCTACTCACGAACGCGATCGGCTATGATCGGGATCAGTTAACATGATCGCGGAGGAGTAGCAAGAGTAGTTGAAGCTTATGAAGGTTTTGTGTACGCGGCGGGCGCGCGGAACATCTGGTGTAATCAGCTGATAATAATAAAAATAAATTAAAAAATGTATTTGTATTTAGTGAATGATTGTGGACTTTATTTTTATTAACTACAGTAGAGTTAAGATTTTAGAAATATATAATATACTTATTTATTAAAGCGTAGAGTCCTTGTAGAGTTTATACAGACGTGTAAAATTATTTATAAATGTAAAGTCAATAATACATATACCTATCAAAGTATCTCCCCAGATTTAAAATCATATGGGGTTGTATTATTTATTGATTTCCCAGAATATTAGGTCAATAAACCTAGCAGTCCCATATGGAAAAAAACGAAGGGATTGCTAGGTTAATATGAAATATAGCAGTCCCCTGTAGTGAAAAATATTTTTTTAAATTTTTCTTTGGTATCAGAATTTAGATAATATGCTTTTTAAAGTTCTCCTAAATACCTGGTCAAAGAAAAAATTGAATCAGTTAATTATTAACTGAATTACAGATTTTTTTTCAATATTAGGAAATTCCTGGATTCACGTTTACTTATTGGGGGTGTGTTAGAGGCTTACAGCCAATTTCATAATCAACTTAAAGTAAACTTTAAATATAAAGGTCCATTTGAAGTAGAAAAATCCCATCCTAAAAGTCTATTTAGC